CATTCTTTAATTATCAAAATTATTGGAATATATATATAACGTTTTTATTATTATTTTATTTTTGGTCCAAACTCTTGCGTTTCTTTTCGGTAGAATTTCAATACTACATTATACTCGATTCACATAGGATAGATGTGCTTACGATAATAACTTCTTATCCACGTAACTCATGTCGCAATGTATATAAATTAGATGTTTTCTAGGTCGAGTTTAAATTCACTGTTCGCAGCCTATTTTCAAAAACGCGTACGAATTCGTGGACAACGCCTATACGGATTGTATCTGATATAATATATCAGCGTCTTAACTCTTTTATTGAAAAGGGTGCAGCCGCAATCGATTACATACGGAACCGACGAATCCATTATTGCATGAATGACCTTTAGAATCAATCGGGAATTCGCCTTTTCCTTCTTTGGATTTTCTCACGGATCAAAGTCATGGTATCGATTTTATCTCATCTCTAATTGGAACTTTCCCTTGCTTGCCACGTAAGATATTCAGTAAATTAGATATTTTTATGAAAAAATTAGTAATAGACATATCCATTCCTAAAATTAAGATTAGAGAGACAGTTTTTTAAATTTTTTATTAAAAAACAAAAATACATAAAGTTTCTATTCCGTGTTTTCTGTCTCTATCTCTCTCTTTTTGTTAAATATTCATTGCGATTTTATCTTATAGTAAAATCAAAATTTGGAGATACGGATAAAAATTAAAAGCTTCTAAATCAGTTCACTGCTGTCGTCTACTTGTCATTTATATTTTTTTACGATCTAAAATAATGATTACAATATACAAAAAACTACTTTTTATTTAATTTATGTAGTACTTAATTTATGTAGTTTAAAGATTAATTATCATATGCAGCAACTGCGTGATCAGGGTCATTTAATGAAAGCAGGGCACACTTTTACTTCGACGTAGATGTAAATTTTCATCGTGTTTTAATTTTGTAGCAAAAAATACGCAACGTGATTACATTTATAAATTTTTTAATTTCTGTAATTTGGCTATAAAAAAATAAGTGCTATAAAAAACAAAACAATGAAATAAATATTTAGAGAGAAAAAGAGAAAGAAAATATATGATATATAATGTAAATCACATACAAAAAGAGTACATATAATGCAATATAAATAATAAAATAATTGTTATTTATCAGATACTCTTGAATATAAAATTTGTCAAATAATTATTCAGAGAAAACACACCGAGTTTACATTATTTTATTATACATTTTATAGAATTGTATAGCATATTGTATCGTCCCGTGAATAACGTTATCCAAGCGTTACGAGAATGGGAAAACAAGCGTTTCGTGAAATGTCGATACGCTTCGGTCAACATATGATGCTTCTCGTCGCTCATGAGTATTAAATGTAATACCGCAGAGAGATTATATAGCGCGAATGTGCGTGGTCGTAACATCAACTGCTACACACAGAGAAAAACTGCTTTGCGTTACATCATCAAAAAGGAAATGCAGCTATAAGATTATATCTATCATTTTCCTGTGGAAAACTCTTATAATGTGACTCGCACACGATTTATTTCACCTTCTTCCAATTCACTTTGGCCATCGCCAACTATATTTTACGTATTTAAAGTTATAGGTCTCAGGGAATCCGCAATAAAATTAGAACTGTCTCGAAATGTATGGATCCCAACATAGGACAACAATGTTTCAGGAATGGTGAGAATAATTAAGGCGTTGTTATATATTTTTGATGGTGAAAAATTATACTTTAGATAGAATATTTCTATTTTACAACTCTTTTCTTATGTATTTAACTATCAAAACGCAATATTTATTAAGGTCAGGGTCAAAAAAGAAAGTCTTCGAATTGTTTTCATGGGAAGTTTTTGACCGCCATTGTAGATTCGATCATATTATGTTGATGTAGACAATCCGCCTGCGTGTACACAAAATATGCGTATACGTGACGATAAATATGAATAAGCAAGGAGAGAGTAACGAAATATCTTACTTTCACATTTGGATCTCTGACCGCACTGGTCCAGGAGCTTCGTTTCAATGTCATGGGACATTTTATACGATCTTTTTCTCCCATAATTTTCTAAACTTTAAGAAACATTAGACGTTTATAACAAATAATAGGACGATGTTGCTAGGATAATGAAAACAAAGTTTTAAAATCAAGTGTAATAAGTTATTACTTATTCTTTTTCTTAAAGATGATAGATTGTTTTAGATTTTAGAGTTCAATCATTAAAAAAATTTTATTTTATTTTTATTTTATATTATTCCGAGTTTAAAATTTTAAACGAACTTTTTATCATTTGATCGAATTATATATTCGAGTAATGATCAGCAATAAAAGGAAGAATTAAGAGTTAAAAGAAAGAAATATTAAAAAAGAGTTAAGGAAAATAACTAATGCGACTATATTGTTTTTTATTGATAATTATTAATTCACTTTTTTAGATCCTTTTCGACTTTTTTTATCATTTATGTGAATTAAAGCAAATGTAGGTTAATTGCATTTCTATTTCAAAGCTTTACGAATTAGTATGCTACATTTTTCCATATCTGCATTAATGACTTAAGTAAAATTTGCGTTTATCATTCAATTAGAGAGAGAAAGAGAAAGAACTGTATAGACTGGAATATATTTTACATTAAGAATACCAGAAACCGGATCCTTTGACCCGGACAACTGAAATTTTCACGTGGGCACTTCACTGGAAAGTTAATGTATAATGGTTATAGCCGGTCCATCCAGTTTTCACAATTCTAACCGACGGATCCAGATCGAGAGAGTATGCTTATCGAGACAAACCAGACCTTTCTACGTGGTCACCTGTCTCCGTTTTTTCTCAAACTTAATAGATAGTTCTCGGCTTTTCACAAGCGATCATCATTTTCTTGTAATGTATAGGATCAACCATTATTAGTTATGTTATTCAATTTATACACACATATTTGTGAATATTATTTCGTTTTTAATTTCACATAATTCGGCAATTAAGATCGGTGAAAAAATTTTTTCTAAACGATAATCTAATCTTTTCTTATTTTACTCCGTTCAAAAATTTGTTTATTTAAAGTAATATCGAAAGATAAATTCATGAAAAGAGATATTTCATTGGATTATGTATGTCGGGCCAATGAACGCTTAAATTCTTTAAACGATGCTTGTTTTACGAGAAAGTGGTTGCGACATGTTTATCGATCCTCTGATGCTTGGTCATCCATGTTCTCCCAATGAGGACCCAAATCCGACCGGTCAAACATGACCTCGACTTTCACCCTCGTACAAGGTCTAGGACGTCTCTTATGATTATTATTCTTCCCGTTCGTTGATAGAACAAATATTTTTCTTTTCTAGAACTTCAAAGAGATAATTTTATATGAAATGTAAGAAAAGCACTTCAATTTGAAATTAGATAATTAAGAAAATTCAATTCTTAGCGAAGAAATTTCAGTGAACTTCAGAAATGTTTCAAGTTTTTTATATTTCTGCTAATTAAGAAATAAATAATAATTTTTAAAGAAGTTTACAAAAAAAGTAAATTAGTAAAAATTAAAATCACATACGGAAGAGGGACATATGCTATAAGTAAGCCTTAAACCATGTCAAACAAAATTTAATTTGACAAACAAAATTTTTTTGCGGTCTCGCTACACATTTTTCTTTATGTTTCTTATAAGTATACAATTACTTTTTACACAATATCACACAATAATATGTCATTAAGCGAACGTCAAATACGAAGAGGGACCATCATGGCTCGACGCATCTCAATAAAAGCTTTTCAATTTCGTTCCGACGCGGGCGGGGTTTACTTTCACCATTCGAGGCGGCGAAAGCACTTCAATTTGAAATTAGATAATTAAGAAAATTCAATTCTTAGCGAAGAAATTTCAGTGAACTTCAGAAATGTTTCAAGTTTTTTATATTTCTGCTAATTAAGAAATAAATAATAATTTTTAAAGAAGTTTACAAAAAAAGTAAATTAGTAAAAATTAAAATCACATACGGAAGAGGGACATATGCTATAAGTAAGCCTTAAACCATGTCAAACAAAATTTAATTTGACAAACAAAATTTTTTTGCGGTCTCGCTACACATTTTTCTTTATGTTTCTTATAAGTATACAATTACTTTTATATCACACAATAATATGTCATTAAGCGAACGTCAAATACGAAAAGGGACCATCATGGCTCGACGCATCTCGATAAAAGCTTTTCAATTTCGTTCCGACGCGGGCGGGGTTTACTTTCACCATTCGAGGCGGCGGCATTCTTTAATAGAGGCGCGCGTGCACCTTTCTTGTCTCTCTTTCTTCAAGTCGGCTATGGAAAGTAAACCGCGTTTGACACATCGGGGTCGCAAAAAGGTTACAAAGGGATACTGCGAAATAAGCGTAAACGGCCGTCAAGGATAACATGGCGTTTCCTACTTGTGTAATCTCTCGGCTGCGAAAAATCCGCGAGTCTTGCAGGTGCATAATACGGATATGACGTAGTTTATGAGTGCATGATACGTTTATAATAGACGCGTTCCGGGAAGAAAAGCGAATTATTTGTAACCGTGCAACTCGCGTGTGAAAGAATTTTCTTTGTTCAAGACAGAAAGGGAATTAACCGTTTTATCGCAAAGCGAGTTAACGATGACGTGTGCAAAGTTAAATGACTTTCCGACTTTTGTTTTATTATCTACATAAGCTATAATCAAGCGACATTGACGCAAAATTGCAAAATATATTATGATTATATTATCTTACCAAGTTTTGCAAATTTCTGCTCTTTTTTTGCCATACATTTAAATTTGTATTTGACTTTAAAGATTTAAACTTCGAAGTAGAAACGCTCTCTCTCTCTCTCTCTTTCTTTGGAAAAAACATGCACACTCAAAATTCACAATTTCTTTGTTATAGGGAAAAATTTGAAAAATAATGATCGAAGTTTGAGAAAAATCAAATGCAAAGAGAAAATATATGAAAGAGGAAATGAGAGAAAACAATAGATATGGATATTAAAAGCTTCGTTTATTTCTCAATATTTCATCTCTTTTCATATATTATGAATATAATAACGATTCTTATCACGCTTTGTCGTAAGTACATCTTATCATTGGAATATCGAGAATGTTGGTCGAGGATACCAAAGTGAGCTCGATCAATGATAGCCGCGTTTTTTTCACTAAATTCCACTGTAGTGCGAGTTTCACATACACATCGATCGAGATCCTCCGATGAACTCAAACCTTTCACCTCGATACGTAACACCTTTCTCTCTCTTGTCAACGATCGACTGATTGAATCACATTTGCGTTCTCTATCTAAATTCTCTCTCTCTCTTTCTCTCTCTCTCTCTTATCAATTAGGAAGTAGACAAATGTGTGCGGAGCGTTTTGACTGATCTAAACGATTTAGATTAGTGGCCGATGTAATCGAGAAAAACGCACGCGGTCCTCATAAATGTTTGCGATACTCGTATTTTTCTCTTAACGACTAAACACTCGAATGAAGATCCAAATAACACACGAAGAAACTGGAGCATGCAAATTTGAAACGTGCGTGTGTGTGTATATGTGTACAGGCGTGTCCGCTACAGACTGTTCTACTAAAAGATGCGTATCGGTGCGTATCGCTCAAGTGTTTTCCCGAAGCTCATATAAGGAAGTCCGTTTCCTTGTAAAAGGAATTAGAGAATTATATATATATGTGTGTGTGTGTGTGTGTGTGTGTGTAAAGCTTGTTTTTTCGAATTATCTTAAGTCCATTTAAAATGTAAAAATTATATTTTACAAAAAAAAACTATAAAAATTATTATTTTATGCAGTATTACAAAAATTTGCACAACTTTATTATGTGGTATATACATATATCGAATTTTATTTTTTTAAAATTATGGATATAAGGCAATTTGTGAAAATAAACTCTTAAATATTTGGACTTTAGAACTGACAGCTGGAAATTTAGCAATTCAGCATTTAAATCTTTTTTTTTTTAATATTTAATTTCAGAATCAATAGATCTCATCGAGATTTAATAGCAATTAAGTATAACAATAAGTAAAGCATACACATAGATTATATTTGTATTAGAGATGAAAGTTTTGAATCTTTAATTCCTTCAAGAATAGAGCTCTACCACTAATCTAAGACATATTGTATATATATATGTGTGTATATGTATGTACGTTATGCGTATAAAGTTGACGCGTATTCTCGAAAATAGTGAAGACAATAAAATGGGAAAAAAATATAAATTGTGTCGATTGCAGAAGATAGACACAATTTTATCGAAGTACAAAACTGGAAGAGTAGAAAAGGACTAGGAGTAGTTAAAAACGAGTTTAAAACCTGACGTATCTACCGTGTCTTCGCAACGTTTCTATTCGTTAATACTGATGCTTGGTTTTAATAGCAGGTACTTGTCTCGATAATTAGAATTGCCTTTTAATTCTGGCATGTATTGTAGATTTGAATAAACACAACATAGCTACTTGCAAACGCAAGTAGAATTTAATTTTATAGAGAAACATTCGATGATATATTTAAAAAGTATTTGGAATAACTTTCTATATATATTTATACAATCCGAGTAAAGTATATATGTATATTTGAGTAAAATTGATATAAATTAATGTATGAAAATATATTATTATATCGTATCTGGTATGTAAATAAAATATGCAAAATAATATATTTACAATCAGGACTTAAAACAGAGGTTCTTTTATCAATGTATAATTTCTTCAATACTACGTAAGCTGTAGCTAAGCTTTAATGAGTTTTTAAGAAAGCGTTTCCGAACAATTTTAAAGCTTTTTCACAATTAATATTAAATTTTCTATTCAATCTCTCAGACTATTGTCCCTTCATTACATTTTATAGGTAGAGAAAAATATACTTTGCAAACTAATTATTGTATTTTGATAGCAATAGAGGAATTTTATTGATTTAACGGTATGCAGATTTGATTTCATGGAGATGATACTGTCTTCTATTATTTAAGATAGAGAATAATACGGTAAAAAATATTAAACTTTAATTTCTAAGTAACTATAAACGCATTGTCAGATAAATATTTGAGATACTTTTTGCAAATAAAGAAACATAAAAAAGCGCAATATACTCTTGACTCGATATGTTATACAATATTGAAATATTTGGCAATATGTTCGTTAAAAGTAGATAAAATTACAAACATTAAAAATTAGCAGAGAGAACTGGAAAGTCCCAAAAACACATTGGAAAATGATTTCACAAATATCACGAGCGTCTAAGTAAATTCGTTGACTAGATGATGTAAAGCTCTGAAAATGTATCTGTGTGTGTGATGTAATTTGTTTTAGCTCGCCCCTTAGGCCTTTAGTAACAAAAGAAATAACACGTTATATGTGTATGCGTGTGTGTACGTGTTCCATAATTAAATATATAACTACAGCTTCAGTGACACATTTGAAAATTTCTCTTTGAACAAAAATGTCAAGAAAGATCGTTATATATTGCACGCATTATAATTTTTAACTTAATATATCTCTGTAGCTAAACTTTAAATTAAAATTCTATCAAAATTAAATTGAAATCTGACTTAAGAAAGTCGAAAATATAATTTTGTCATTTATATTTTTTATGTTAAACTTTTATTTGCCAGAGACTCTTTTTTCAATCACTTATATTATGTACTAATATATAAATTATAGGTAAGCCGATATTTTTGTCAATAGAAAAAAAAACACATTACAAATTGATCCAGAATCTGTAAAAAGTAAAAGATTTGAAAAGAATGCAATAGTCGTAAAATATCTAGTCTGTTATGTTATTTACGTGTAAGTGTTTATATGTGTTTGGGTAAATACGCCTCGCGTGTGAAAGTGCTCCATAAGAGACTGTTCAAAATATTGTGCCGGAAGGATCATCGAGGCGCTTTTATACATAGAGGATGAGAATGAGTAAATTGAGGATAAAAGATTGCAAAAAGACGTATGCACGGTGTATATAACGATTATAGTATATAATTAGAAAAGCGAAAAATGGATCAGCGATACTACTTTTTCTCTTTCTTTCTCTCTTTCAAACACTCTCTCTCTTTTTCTCCCACTCTCTCTATTGGCCACGAACCAGTAAAATCGTGGCCAGAAATAAATATTTATAGGTTTTATCCGCCTTCTCTCAAGCGAGTGCATTTTTACATAACGAGCCTGCATTTGTAATCGTCGCGCGACATTTCCTCTTTCTTTCGCGAAGAAATCACATCTCTGTATATTCTCTGTAAATCACATCATTGTATATTTTTTAATTAATTAATGACAACACATTATTGACGAATAACATAAAACGCGTTATATGCGTTTTGGAATCATCGATTATCCTTTTAATTATAGCTTTCTCGATCAATTATTCGAAAACGATCTTTTCTTAATAAAAATGTCGAGGGAGGTCGTTCTTATCAATGTACATTTCAATGTTCAATATTGTACATTTTTTACAACTAAATTCCAAATATAAATTTTATGAAAATCTATTTAAAGTTAATTGAAAAATATGATTCGATCATTCTTTTCTTCTCAAACTTAGATATAAATTATATTTTTAATCGTTATTTATTCGAAGATTATGTATTATAATGCAAAAGGCATTTTTGCGCGATTGTTCTATATATAATCAGTATAGCTCTATAAATTTTTTATATTATACAATTGCGCAACATGAAATTCAACATGAGAAAGAAACGAATGCGTGCTAGACAGAAAATGTCACGGCGATTATATAATCGTGTTAAAAAGGCATGATAAAATAGCCATTGGTAACACCAGCAGTACATCGAACTTATTACCCACGTGATAAGAAAGTTATCACATAGAAAGTGTGTTGCGTACTTTCGGTATTAGTATTATCTAATCAAAGATCCAAATGTAAACATCGTTGTAAAAATACACGCGCCGTGATCTGAATAATTCCCAGTCGAAAAAGCAAAACTTTTTTCGCGACGATTTCCTTAACAATACAGAAATGCTCAAATAAAATAATTTCGAGCTTTCTCTCTTTCTCTCTCTCTATCATTTAATCAACAAACTGTGCGTTGGAACGAAGACTTAAAATAACGTCAGACGCTTTAGAAGAGAATCATCGCGCGCAACCTATACTTATAAGCGTGCGTATACAATTTCGCGTAATCGCATGCGCGAATGTATTGAGTTAATGCGGAAATTTTGCCGTGTACTTCTTATTCAAACGATAACGAAATAACTACTTTTTTTCTGCATCAAATTATTAATTACAAGTACTATAAAACGTAATTCCTTAATTTTAAAAAATTATTCAATGAACATTTCATATAGAACTTTTGGAAGTAATATTTTAATATTGATAAGAAAAAACATGGCAGAACATCCGAATTTAATTTAAAATCAATTATATAACATTCTTTTGCGAAGCCCAATTATGCGTAATTTTTTTGCGAGAATACTAATACTTGATTATGTCCTGAAAAATATTTAATTGCTCTTATATCTCTCTATTCCTCGTAACGATATCTAATGGCTAACTAATGACACCGATGGACGAAACGATCGACATGTGTTCCTCTAATAATAAGGAAACTGTCGTCGCGCTTTGTTTAAATATTTATCTCCATTAATTTGTCAAATTTGTTAATTAATGAATTTCTAAGAATACACGTTTCTTGCTTCCCTTGATATGCTCGAAACGTGATTCTCCCTTTAAACACGAAATACTTTCAAAATTGCTTCTCTGTCTCTTTCTCTGGCTCTATTCCTCTCTTTTTTTCTGTTTCTTGAGAAATTATTGTAAAGAAGTCATTACACACTTCTCTTGTCTAAATCAAATGACCAAGGAAGAAGCTGCTCTTTCCTCGATTTCAATATTGTTAAATCTAAAAAAAACTGGAACTTCCAATAAAGTATTTTTAAAATGTACTAAATCTTAAAATAATTATTTTTTTCTTTTTTTGAAATGTTTGTTTACTTTTTATCATTTGTTATTTGTGCAATTTTTGAAGTTTTTATTTCTACGTTTTTGCTTATACTCTTATATTTTTATGCTTTCAAATCTTTATAAATACTTAAATATATCAATTTTCTTTAACTTTTAAATTTAAATCTTAAAATACATTAACAAACTTCTTCGCTAATTATATTTTTATACATTATCATTAACAAAGAAACCCAGTTTAATCCGAATTTCAAGCATTTATTATCGTGGATTTATATCTAAAATGAATTAGATGATAAAATATAATTTTATTTTCAATTGACTTCTTCTGATCTATTCAATTAGTTGGAAGAAAATTGTCAATGACCACATGCACCATACATTTTAAAAAATAACAATAATATCTCCGTTTAATTCATGCATATCTATTATCGACTGCGGAAAGAAAAAACGATATGATCATATAATACATTTAAAAAAATGGTAATGGCATTTTTTAATATATTATACGCTACATATTCGTAATTCTATAATTACGTATTCTATATAATGTTTTTCACGATATATATTTCAACGCATATTGTGTCTTTTTATAGTCTTTCTTATATTTAACGTGATATATACCTTAAGATATATCATATGATCATCAATCATTTTTATACCGCAGTACATAATATCCTATTTTCCGCGTAAGAATATCTTTTTCTCATTATTCACGTAACAAATATCCATCCTGATTCTTTGCTATCTTCTTTCAGCATTAAAATTTTTCATTGTCAATAATCTTTTTGCCTCTTTCGAAGCAATATCACGTGCGATACCTTTGCCAACGACTGACGATAGACAAGATTCTTACGATTTAGGGAGAGTAGAAAATGAAAGTGTGTTCAGTCTATATCAATCACATCCATATTTTCCGCTGATCCTTTTCGCTGTCGCAATTTCCGGCGCAGCAGGACCGTTTTAAGGATACTGGACGACCTTGGACCCGCGACTTCCGGCCGCGGGTAATTCTGCTACGCCGGTTTGTGCCTCTTTCTCTGCTCTCTTCTCGTATTTGAACCGGGACTGCCCGAGCCTTTCTCGCAATCCGCTGTCGGCACAGGTTTCAGTTCTCTGTAAAAGGACACGCGTTGAAAAACGTGTCCCTTTGCGGACTCAAAAGCGTCAAGCGCAATAAGTTTGGTTATATCGTGAAGATGATATAGAGCTTCGATATAATAATTTACGAGGAAAACATCCACTGCACTATTAAAGAACCTCAGACTTGATTGTGTTTATATATTTACTATATTTTGTACATTCCCTCCTCCCCTCTCCCTTTGAGAAACGGAAGAAACTTTTTAAAGAAAAATTCAGAATTTCACGTAGACATATAAAAATCATATAATTTCCAGCAATGTATTTATGTTAATACAAGTTTACTAATCTCTAAATAATCATTTAGTGTTAACAGCTTCTGTTCTAATATATTTTCTTTATAGTCTGTGACTTCTAGAGTTTATTATTTTTGTTTATATAGATAAACATAAAAACTATTAATTTTTAACTTTTTTTTTTCTATTTTTTAAAGATACAGAGATATTAGAATGTAATAATAATATTAGAATGAAATAATAAAATTATATAATCCAGTTGAATTTTTATGATATATCTTTTAATGTCGTAAAACCAAAGATACAGTATCAAACTATATTATACTTGAGTTTCCCGAAACATTTGTACTGATGTTTTACATCTATAAGCGAAAAAATCCGATTAATCCCGAGAGATAACGATAATGTAGGTTATCGTTAATTACCCACCTATAATTAAGCAGTTCTTCGTCGTCAGGCACTCTAGATATAAGATCGAGGACCTCGTTGTTGGGCACGGAGTGAGGCCTGAAGATTTTTCTAGCAAATTTATTAACTCCCCAGGTGAGGATCAGATACCGGACAGGAATAAAATAGAGCACAACTGCCCCGGCGATCGTCAGGGTGAACGCCAAATAGCTCAAATAAGGAATCGTGAAGTTGAAGAGATTTTTCACTCTCTCGCAAAGACTAGCTATGTAGCCGATCGAGTTCTGAACTATTTGCGTCACCTCTTGGATTGCTTGTAAACGTTCCTTCAGACTTTTTTTCTCTTCCTGAAAAATCGTACATTTTAATAGGTAAAATGTTCTAATTTCATGTTGCTTAAACATTCAAAAGATTTTTTTGAATTTTTCAGATATTCTAATTCTTCAGATGTTACTTAAAAATTTATTTTATTTTACCCAATCTATTAAAACCAATAAATAGATTCTTTGATTACAAAATTAGAATTAAATAAAAGATCGATACAAGCAGAAAATAGAATTGAAATGTAAATGAAAATAAAAAAAAAACAACATTTTTTTGAACCATATATAAAATCTAATAAATATTCCAGGAAAATGAATATGCTTTCTGCATATTTAATGTTTGTAAAACTAATTATTTCTGTATCTGCTGAATGAGAGTTTTATGCATATCTATGCGAGCGCAGTTAAATTTATATTATTAGACCTTTATTCTGTTGCTTAAATAACCTGTTATAAAGATAACATCTTTATCCGGGCATTATTGCGATTCATAGAGCATAATGAGATACATAAAATATTTTACGGAGGCGCTTAATTCTTAACACTTCAGCTTATTACTAACGCGAGGGAGAGCAATCTACCTGATTAATTTGCATAGGTCGAAGGTCATAATGTTAAGTTTATTAAATGGAGCACGGTATACGGTACGCAAATGAGAATTTGCCATATTTATCACTATCTTCGCATTATCATCTATGATGAGATCCCTAAGAATATCTAATAGATCTAGTATACAACAAGTAACAATGTTACTTGCATTACTTTTTACACACAGCCATATTAATAAACAAAAACTAGTATATGACACACACACACACACACACACATATATATAT